ATCAATGGAAGGGTAACTGATGTGATACAGCAATCTGTATACGGGGTAAAATTGGGAGTTCATAACCCACTTGAATCAAATTGTGAAATATGATGTATTAAGAACTATGTAATGTTTTGAACGACCAACAATWAAAAAAAACAACAAAAACAAAATAATGAACTTATCAGGAAACATAAGAACCTCATCAGAGTAAAATCTGAGAGCTCCTTGAAACACATGAAAATAGTCTTATACAAGAAGTATACAACAAAATGTAGCATATATACACAGTGGGATATTATTCAGCCACAAAGAAGAACGAAGTCCTGTAATTGGCAGCAAAATGGATGGAGCTGGAAGGCATTATGTAAGTGAAATAAACTGGATATCCAAAGACATGTATTGCATGTTCTGTCTCACAGGTGAATGTTAAAAAAAAAAAAAGTCAACCTTAATGTGGAATAGTGATAACTAGAGACTGGGACGTAGGGAAGATGGATATGACAGATAAAGAGGCTGGGTTTAATCAGTGAACACTGATTATTCATGCATTAAATGTATTCATTCATTAAAATATTGCACTGACCCCCCATTAGTGTACACAATTACTGAGTGTTAATCAAAAATAAAGTAAAATAAAATATCTTTTTCATGGAAGACTACATAAAAAATTCAATAAACTTACATGTTCAAAAGTGAAATTGTTAAACAATAAAAATGCAAATATTAAAATAGAATGTAGTCTCAAACCAGTGTTTCTAATGCTATATCAGAAATCAATAGTATTAACCACACTGAGAAAACAATTGGATTTGAACACAGTACTCTGCATACACAGAGAGGGCTAAATGCTAAAAGCAGAAAGTACCATAAATAAAATTTCAAGTTTATGAAGCAGTTTATAGCTGTACGATGCTGGAATTCTGGAAGTATTTTGTGTGTATTATTGGGATAGAACAAGTAAGTCATATTTTTATTTTTTTTATTCTTAATTTTTTTTAAAGAGAGAGAGAGAGAATTTTTAGTATTTATTTTTTTTTAGTTTTCGGCAGACACAACATCTTTGTTTTTCTGTTTTTTTGTATGTGGTGCTGAGGATCGAACCCGGGCTGCACGCATGCCAGGCGAGAGCGCTACCACTTGAGCCACATCCCCAGCCCTAAGTCATATTTTTATATGGTTGAGAACCAGGGTTTTCACTTTAAGAAGAGAGAAAATAGAAATATGGACTGGGGRACGCTTCGGATGAAATCTAGGACACTGAATTATTGACTTGAATATATATTTCTTGACTGTCCATTCAAAAAAAACCCTAGAAACAATGACACCTTAGTGGCCACGAGAACACAATGTGTCCAGACCTTGGTTTCTAAAAATCACTCTCCAGTAAATAAAAAAGAAAAGAAAAATCAGGAGTCCCTGGAGAAACAGTTGACTCCAGGTGGGAGAAGTACAGGGTGAGCCTGGAGTAACTTGTAGTGTCACAAGTCTAGGAAACACTCCAGGAAGAATGGGGTCCTGTCACAAAGGCACCATTGCCAAGAAATACCATGTACTAGCCGTTTGGGGACAATCTGAGCATCAAAAAGACTCATGATACTAATGAATTAAAATGGACTGTACTGAAGTCCATAGTGATATTACTTAGCAAGTAGGAACAGAAGAAAAGAGGGGACAGGAAAAAGCCTTTTGGTCCCCAAATGTAGAAAGAATATGCTCAAATGGGAAAGAGTATTTTGTAAGCTGCAATAAGCTGCAATGCCTGATTCAGGCATAGATCATGAATAGATGTAAAATCAGTGGGTAAAGAAATGATGGGAGTCAGGGAATTCACATGCTCTCCAAGTAGCAGCCCTCGGATTATTTACTAATCACARAGGGGAACATTCTAATCTCTGTAATGCAGAGAGCCAACGTTGCTTCCATAGCCAAGCCATCAAACGAAGCCTTACCAACAGTGAGCTGGCCTGGCGTTTCGTGCCTGCAGACACAACACAATAAAAGATAAGCAATGTCACCTCCCTAGTATTCTTGACAAAAAAAAAAAAAATTCAGTTTGAATCTACTCAGGAGGAAACAATCATACAAATCCAGAACATGGGACATTATACAAGATGACTGCCTTAGATATTTCAAAGTGTGCAATGCCCCCGGGGGRAAAGAAGAGAGAGAGAGAGAGATCCTTCAACACTGAATGACACTAAAAAGAGACAAAATCAAATACAAAGGTTTTTCTTGGATTGGACAATAGAGGAATAAAAGATGACTTTTGAAATAATCAGAGAAGTTTGAATGTGGACTGGATAATACATAATATTATCTTCTTAGGAGTGGTCATTGTATTGGGATTAAGTGGGAGATAAAATGGTGATGTATTTAGGGGTGAAGTCTCATGATATCTACACTGATATTCAAGTGGATCAGTTAACAAGGGGAGGTTCTATATACAGAGATAAAACAAAAGCTGCAAAATGTTAGTGGATCTGGGTGCAAGAGGTCTACGTTTTTAAGGTACTGTTCTTTCACTCCTTCTGTATATTTGAAGATTTTTTAAATAGACCAAGGGCAAGGGAGAAGACAGGAAAGCACTCTGGCCTTGGATGACCACCCTGTGCACATCATACAGAGCCTGTCCTATAAGCTACAGCGCATGAGCCATTCCTTAAGTGAGGAGAAGTAGGTTGTGGATTGTGGATTGTGAAAGCATCATTCAGATAAGCCAGTGGAGTGTTCTCTTTCCTAAGAGTAGGGCTAGTTCAATCCAGAGACTAAGATCCTGTCCCCCTTCCTGCTGCCCCTGTGTGGCACAAGCAGCCTTTGTTCACTCTGAGACCCCAAAGCAGCACTAAGAAGCCCTCATTCAGCCCATCAGACAGCTTGATAACAAAGAGAGATGTTTGGGATTTGTTGTTCATCAGTTGAACTAAATTGACTAACGATTCGCTTGGCCACTGTCAAAGAAAAGGTCTTGACAAGTGGAGGAGAAAAAAACTATCCTCCTGTTAAGACCCGGTTTCCTGGGCTCTAGTTCCGCAAATGGCCCACCGCTTCACTCTAAGTCTAGCCAAAGTCCCACCCCGTGAGAATGTTCCACAGCATCCTGCTCTCTCAGCTATCTTGGCGTAAGGCCTCTGGCCAGTGGCTAGCAATCCCTGCCTAGGCATGCAGAAGAGCCACCGTCACCATGGGGCAGTGACCACCTCCTCTCTTTGAGTAAAAATGATCATTCTTAAAACTCACCTCTTGGAGAAATTGAGGTTTTGCCTGTGTGTGTGTGTGAGAGAGAGAGAGAGAGAGAGAGAGAGAGAGAGAGAGAGAGGATGTTCATTTACCAAGTCCTAAAGACAGAAAGCACACGAGAAGCCTGACTGCAGGAGAATGGCTTCCTTGTGATTCACTGCTTTAACTGCGTCTTTGGGGCCTACCGCCTTCCTGAATTCAGCCTGACTCCATCTAGTGTTAGTTTGGGAAACTTGAACTGTGCCTCCCTTCTTTTCCAAAGTCCCTCTGTTCCTTCCCTTCCTTTGCCCACCCATCTTCCTCTAGTACCTCTTCACATTCACATTCCTTTATATAGAACTTTGCTTCAAAAGGTTTATTATTGAAACAACGACTGTAATCTTCCCATCTGGATTATGGAAATGGCCTCCTCTAGGCTAACGCCTCAAAATACTCCAGACCTTGCCCCTCCCTCATCTCCTCTCTTGCCTCCAGCCAGCTTGCTCCTCCAGCAGGGCTTTGCAGCAGGTTGTGATCTCTCCTGGGACTTCCAGCATGGCTCCCCAGCTCCACCTGAGCCCCCTCCCATAATGAAAAACATCTCCCCGTCTTAGAATCCATCAGTGGTTGACCAGAGGTTTCAGGATAGGATTCAGACTCCTTCACCTAACACAAGACCATCGGATCCTCCAGGAGTAGAAATTTCTTCTCTCCCCAACCCCTTCTCTCTGCACCTCCATATGAAGCATTTGCTTCTTCCCTAACGTTTGCTTCTTGGCCAAATGTTTACCATGGTACCCAAGGGAGCCTGCATGTGCCAAAGTTCCTTCTGCCTGTTTGACTTGCTCCTTCCACAGGCTGACTGAGGCTCGCCTACTCCCCCTACCTACTGCTTCCCAGCCAGCTGTGCACCCCTCTGCACCTCAAGCCACATGTGTGTAGCTCTGTCATGGTCCCTGCACCAGACAGAGGTCACCTCTAACTGCCTGTGTCCTCTGTCGGGCGAGGGAGCTTGTTTGCTCTCTTCTCATGCTCATTCATTTATTTGTTCAATTCATGCACGACTATCCACTAACCTAAGGCACTATCCTAAGGCACTATCCTAAGTGGCAGGGCCACAGATATGAAAAGGAAAACCCCACCCTCAAGTAGCTTGCATTTTAAGGACAACAAGCATCAGAAAGAGACAAGCTCATATTCCTATAATGTCAATTAGTAGAAAAGTTATAAAGAAAAATAAAGCCAGGTAGAACTGTGGAGGGGAGGTTTCTATTTAAAATGGGCCATCTGAAATGAAATGGTGACACTGAAGCATAGATGTGAAGGAAATGAGGGATGAGTCCTATGGCTATCTGGGGAAAAGAGTATTCCCATGTTAGAAAATAGTAAGTGCAAAGGCCCTGAGGTAGGACTGTCCATGGATTAAAGCAGAGTGGCCAGATACCAGCAAATAAGCTAAGAAATTTGGGGCAGACTCTATATCCTCCTTACCAGGTCAGGGCAGGGGCTGCCTACCTCATTCTGAGCATGGGAGATGCACTGGAGGGCTCTGAGCGCAGGGTGGGGCAGAATCTAATCCAGGGAGTACAAAAGCAAGCCCCAGCCCCTTTGCTACTGTATCCTGTGTCCCCTATTCTCATGATAACTGCCCACTGATCCAAAGCAGAGAGCAGGAGGAGGGGGGGTATGGGGTGCATTCTAGTCCCCTAGAGAACCTGGTGGATAGCAGAGAGGGAGTGGCAAAGACAGAAGGGAAAGTGACCCCTCACTGACCGCCTCAGCATCGACCTTACCTCGAGGGTCTCTTCTTTCGCACGATGGTGTCTAAACAGAGAAAGCAGGGCATTAGGAAGGAGGTCCTGTGGCCCCTGGGGCAGCTCTCAGCCCCACAGTGCAGATGTGAGGGGCCAGAGCCAGACAACTTGGGCAGGGCTGAGAAGCCGGCTCCTGGGCTGGGTCACTGGCTGGGAAGTATGGGACAGAGTGTTTCCTGCCCTCTTCCCGCTAGGGATACGACCTCAGGGATAAGCTGGTGACCAACGGCGTCCTCGTGCACCTGGAAGCCCACGGCGCTGCACCTGGCCCCGACCACCCCTTTCCACATATTTTCACAGATCATAATTGAAGTTTCTAGAAACACAGTGAGGGTCCATCCTCCTCATCCTCAGAAATACCTCATGGAAAACTGCATCACCATCGTGTTAAGAGACTAACATGGCAGACAATATTTTGTGGGTGACACCTTGAGAGAAAGGGCTTGCACATCAAAGTTGCATTTCTCTGCCGAAAGTCAGAAGCTGACTGCTCCGCATCAGCTTAGGAGGCCCTTTCCTGAAGGTGCCACAGGACAGGGGCAGCAACACCATGGTTCACCCGAGCCCAGCTCTATGGGGACCATGAGGGACCGCTAGGCACCAGTCTGAGAAGGACTTGCCCAATTGGGTCCACCTAACAATGACCGCAGCACCTTCGACCACCCACTCATGCTTAGGACCACCTGATCCCCTGGGATCAATTTTATCTGATCACATCATTTGCATAAGAGGATAGAAATCTCTTTTTGAAGGCAATTGCCCATCTTCTTTCCACCTTTCTCCTGGAAAACTGGTTCTCAGGAATACCAAGAGCCACTGAAAAAAAGAAAAGTACAGAGAGAGAGACACCAAAGAGACAGAGAGACTGAGACACAAGAAGAAAGAGATAGAGACAGAAAGAGAGAGGCCAYTGCAGTTTTTTGCCTGAAGCCTATGGGGTTCTGGGCTTGGGGTTTTTGTAGTTTCTCGGGCTGTTGTTATGGAATTGCCCTCACAGCCATGCTTCATGGTGGGTGGCCTCCCAGAACACTGTCAGCTACTTTTTGGATCAGGAATGTTTCCCCAGTGCCCAGGTGTTAAAGGTGTCCCCAGTTCACAGTGCTACTGGGAGAAGGTGAACCTTTAAAACCTGGGGCTTCATGGGAGGCCTTAGGTCTTGGAGGCCTCTCCAAGGAGATCATTAGATGGGGGCCTCTTCCCTCTCTTTCTCATCCTGGCCCTGAGATATAGGCACTTCTACCACCATGCACTACTGCTGTGACATACTGTGCCTCCACAGGCCCCAAAGCAAGAGGGCCCATCAATCATGGACTGAAACCTCCAAAACTGTGAGCCAGAATACACCTTTCCTCTGAAGTATTTTGTCACAGTAATGAAAAGCTGACTAATGCACTGTCCCTTCTCAGGCAGGGAAGAGCAGGGTCTGAGTGTCACAGGCCCCTTACCATTGCAGGCCGGGTGTACAGTCTTCAGGTCTGAAGAGTCGTCGTCTGTCAGGTGCTTCCTGATCAGGCAGATCTTCAGAGCCAGGAAGCTGAAGGATATGGCAAAGCCCAGAGCAGTCCCAATGATGGCGTATTTAAAATCTACAGCACAGGTAGGAATTGAACACAGGATTACTCATCACCCTGCAAAGCTCTTCTACAGCTCTGGTGAAGTCCAAAGTCATGCATCTGGACCTTCACATTCCACACTCAGACCTGCTGTGGCAGCCTCTTTTCCCCTCTCCTGAGAGCACATTAATTCTCTTCATTTCCCATCTCACTGGAAAACTTCAGCTATGGGAACAATTCTGACATTTCTAAGGTCATTCAAAGTCAGCCCTTGAGGTGACCAGTTCACCCCAGCCCTAGGTGGTGGGCAGCTAACCTTTGTGGTCTCCTGTAGCCCTTCCTCACTTATCCCTTCATTAACTGATTGATTAATTTATTGAGTGTGTTAGTCTGATGCTATGTGACAAGGCTGAAGGCAAATAAATCAGGTCCTGTCTTGTCTTTGAGGGACGTGGAATCAGCTGGAGCTCACCCTAATGCCACATGACAAAAGTGGGCTGGCCTGGGAGTCCTAGGAGTCAGGCAGATGCGGTTGTCTGGGGGATCCCAGCTACCACGTGGGGCACTGTGGGCGCTGGAGCTGAACATCAGGCACAGAGAGGAGACAAAGGTGCCCTTGATGTCTCATATCTCCTTTGAGGACAGGCTTGCAGGAGCTGGCCCCAGGATAAAGCTGTTGGCCACTCAGGCTGGCCTGCAGGTAAACACAGCCCAGTCCTATGTGCTGACCAGCAGGAAACTGATACCAGCAGCCCCCCACCTAACCTGCAAGGATGGCTAAAGGAAGTGCTTTTTGGAGGGTCTCTTTCTTGACTCTCATCTGCACCTAGAATAATCTGGGAGACCACCTACCAATTTCTTCCCCAGCAGACTTGTCCGTTGCCAGCACTTGAGCTCCTCCAACATCTGCAAAGAAAGAAAACCCAGATCCTGGTTGGAAAGCCAGAGGTTGACTGGAACAGAGCTGCTGAGATCAGCCACGGGGTCACGGGCCAAAACCACGTCCCCAACCACCCTCAGGAGCTCAGTGGACTTCTGATTGCCACAGAATCTTAGGATGTTTTAGGGATGCTAGCACCCCCTCCTCAAAACCCAGACCAGGGACAAGGTTCTGCAGAGTTCAGGCAAAACAGCAGCTTAACAGTTTATAAGACCCACATGCCAACCTTAGCCTGCCTCAAGGCTAGGAAACCCGGTCACTTTCACAGGCCCCTAGTTCAGGGAGTGGTCGAACTTTCAGTTCCCTAGTACATGGACTGAGCATCTCCTGCCCTGGCCCACTCCTCCTGCTTGGCCCCATCTGTTCCCCTCTACTCCCTTGCCTACTGTTAGTTCTGTGTCACTTTCCTGATGCTTCTTTGGGGCCCCATAGCCACCATGCATACCACCTCACTGACAATGCTGATATTTATTTAGGAACATTTACATAGCAGCACCCTGTGCCAGGCACCATCCTAAGAGTTTCTCAGCTATTAACCCATTGAATGCCTCTTTTTCTGGTCTTCCCCTTGGGCTGCATAGTACATAGCCAGCATTTGACCCAGCATCTGACACATCAGAGGTATCAATATATGACTGCTGAATGAGTTAATGAGTGAAAGTGATAGAACATGCTATGGGGTGTCTCATACTTCTAGCCAGGACTTGAAACCTTAAGACAGGAAGTCCTGCTCAAACAGGTCTGGTGGTGTCACAGACAGGCTGAGCAAGACTGTGAGACGTGGAGAGGAAGTTGTGTGTTCGTTGGCCGCTTACTTTGAGACAGATATGGGGTTGCAGAACAGGCACTCACAAATTTAATACAGCAATGGTTCTGTGAGATGGACACTGACTATTACCATTGAATGAATGAGGAGCCAAAGACTATAAGGACTTAATGTGCCCAACAGCTAATACAAAAAAGTAGCAGAGCCCTTTATTGTATCAGAGGAGGAAAGTAATGATAAAATACAGTACCCCCCATCCACAGGAATACCCTCCAAGATCCCCAGTGGATGCCTGAAACCACAGAGTACCAAACCATACAAACCTATGATAAAGTTTACAAATTACACACAGTAAGAGATTAGCTATAATAACTGATAATAAAGTAGAATAATTATAACAGGATACTATAAAAAGTTATTTAACATAAAAGAACTGCTTATTTTTGCCATTAATATTTTCAGGTAGCTTTTATCTATAGGTAAATAAAACCTCAGAAAGCAAAAATATAGATAAGGGGGGACGGTAGCATCCAAACCATCAAAAGTCCATGGCCAAATGGGCTTGGGCTGGGGACAAATGGTTAGGTCCCAGCCTCATTCAAGTTTCCAGGCAAAGGCAGAGGAGAAAGTGCCACAAGCCATTTCCCATGAAAGGAAAGAGGTGACTTGGGTGGGAAAGACCAGTTCTTCCCAGCTTAGCTTCAAGAGGATTTCACCTTATGACCCACGTGGCAAAGACCTTCTTCACCCCCAATGACGCCCAGCATTATGTGTAAGGTTGGACCTCCACAGAGCACAATCTTGTTCTGCACGTAATTGGTGGGAAAGGAATTGTTATGGTTTGGATGTGAGGTGTCCCCCAAAAGCTCACGTGTGAAACAATGCAAGAAGGTTCAGAGGAGAAATGATTGGGTTGTGAGAGTCTTAACCCAATCAGTGATTTAATCCCCTAATAGGGATTAACTGAGGGGAAACTGACTTAGTAGGGTGTGGCTGGAGGAGGTGAGAATTGAGGTGTGGCTTTGGGTATATACTTGTAGCTGACAAGTGGAGACTCTCTCTGCTTTGTGATCATCACGTGAGCCACTTCCCGCCCCCACACTCTCCTGCTCAGCCTCACCTGAGACCTGAGAAATGAAGCTGGCCTTCTATGGACTAAGACTTCTGAAACCGTGAGTCCTCAAATAAACATTTTTTTTTTCCTGTACAATTGTGCTGGTCAGGTCCTTTAGTCACTGCAGCAAAAAAAAGCTGACTAAAACAGAAGTCATAGTAACGGGCTTCAGGATTTTCTAGAGACTCAACTTGGTGAGTGAATAAAACTTGGGAATTCTGAAAGAAAAGTTCCCAGCCTTGTTCTAATCACAGGCCCCTCTGGAAATGTACCAATTTCTCTCTTCAACAGAAGACAAGCATACACGCACCCCCACACAGCTGCACACAATGACCTTGATTTTGTCAGGCCTCTAAAGACCCCAATGAGCTTCATTATACTGTCTCTTTTTATTTCTTTAAGTGAACCCTGGGGCTCCAGCCAGCTTGAGAACTGTTCTGGAGCTGGGGCGAAACCCTGTGTTGGACAGAGCGGCTGGGATGGGCGTGGGGTTTCTGGGCTGACACCCTAAACTAGGAGCTGCGCAGGCTATGACCTTACCCTGGACCAGACACCACCTGATGCCTCTGCTTCTCTCTGGCTTTTCAGGGCAGAAGGTCCCTCTGGGGCAGCCACYCCTGTCCCTTCACATGTTAACATCTTTCCTGGTTCCCTCCTCTAGGACCTTCCCCTTGGTGACTGTGGCTCTCAGTAGGGAACATCCAGTCTGAAAACTTTATTCCAGCCTGAGATGAAATTTTGACAGAAAAAGAATTAAGGGCACAGATTAGAAAGCGTGTGAGAGCCACAGAGAGAAGTGTGCACAGAGAAACACAAGTCGACATGCAGGGGATCCACACAGAGGCTTTGCCTGGGCAGCTCCGACCACTGATGGAAGAGAGGAGAAAGCACTGTCCTGAACACGCGGCTCTCACTGCTCTTCCCCGCGTTCATGGCTGGCAGTCAGCTCAGCCCCGCACACGGGCAGCTCCTCAGGCTCCATCCTGTGTCCCCTCTCAGCCCTGAGGCTTGCCCTCTCCCTGGCCCTTTGGCCCTCTGGACTTCAGGCCCTCCTTCTCGTGTGGGCCTTAGGGGCTGAGTGAATGTCCTCTGTGGAGTTCGTTGCAGGGAGACACCTGGATGGTGGAGCTGTGCCCTCCAACATCCCTGTGATTCCTCCTARCCAGCCCAACCACCACTCGCCACTCGGCGGCAGCCTTTCCCCTCCTCAGGGAGGGAGATCCCTCAATGCAGCCCTCTGTCTGCACGCGGAGCTCTGACCTGCATTCTAGAGGGACTCTCTGGGTGAGGAGCTTGAGCGTACCTGCTTCTCTGCTTCCTGCCAGGGTCCTGAGTGGGGGCAGGGCCTCCTGGGCCACAGACCTCCCACCCCCGCAAGCCCCAAAGCTGATGTCCCCTGGCTCTACAAAGGAGCATGGATGATCCTAGCAGGGCTTGTCAGCACAGCCAAAGGATTCCAGAATGTTCTGCACCTTGTTCAGACCCGAGGAAAAGCCCACACGTAGAGAACCAGCAAGACCCTCACTGCATGTTCTCCGAGGGAATTCTATAGGCTCTCACATCAAAAGGAGGAGGGAGGGAGCTTAGTACCCAGAGGGTGGGCTCTCAGACCCAGGGGAGAGTCTAAGGGGACTAAGAAGGGCTGGTTGCATTAGGCTAGTGTCCCTGCTATGGGGGAGGGTGTGATGCAAGGACCTCCTAACCAGTAGACTTACTGGCCACATGTGGCTTGAACCCATCCACTTGCTGTCACCAGCCCTAGGAGATTAGCTGACACATCTCCTCGACGGTCCATACTAAACCAAGTGCCGGATTGGATTATGGCCCCTGCAGTTGCCTCTAGATGGGCCTGTTGAGATTCTGGAACTTTCAGGAGCCTTCCTTAGTCTACACCCATGTGTGGTCAGCTGGGGTCCTGAATACAGGTGCTCTTTTTCCCACTTGTATAAAAACACACCATGGACTCTTGATTCTGGAGTCTCTGCCTTCTGGCTGATGCCCCATTTGGACTTGATACTCTGCCCCTTCCTGCCCAGGTGGCAGGTTCCAGTCCCCTCTCTGCAGCCCCTCCAACTTCTGGCTTACTCTGCAAAGAGCTTCCAGGAAACAAGGAGCCTCCTGCAAAATTAAATTTTCCCAAAGCCTTTTGGCCTCCGAGAACACACTACTGCCTCCAGAGGAAGACAGCAGGGCTCTTCAAGAAAGCGGAGGTGAGCTGTGATGGAGGGAGCAGAAGGCATGGTGTGGCCTGGCCCAACTCAGTTGGAATCTGACACACCAAGGGCCCATCCCTGGCATCCAGACCTCTCTGTGCTGTCCACCTGTTGGGTCCACCCTGACTGGGGGACTGACAGTTTTTGCCACCCTTATTTGGGCAGAATCAGGCTGTGTGACTCCCAGTTGTAGGCTAGTGGGCGTTTGAGCACTCAGATGTCATTCTATAAGTATCTGAACTAAAAATAGAAAGAGGCTGCCCTGAGGGTTTGTCAATTGTTGCCTGCCTGTATTCATCTTGGAACTTAAATATTGCAGAATGGCTCCTAACTTTAGATCCCATGAATTCCAACCTCCTCAGCTAGAGGAAGGGGTTTCAAATGTCTAGAGCAGACATCCATTCTCTCTTCACGGAGTCTACACAAATAAACAAGGGAGCTAGAGGGTGCTGAGGGGAGATCCACGAGCAATCACAGACCCACATCCCCCATGAAGGAGCTCAAGTGTAGTGAAGGAAACAGGAGTCACACTCAAGAAAGACCCAGTGTGTCACAGTACATGCTCACACCTTCTTGCAAACCTTGATCTCCACCAGTGGAGGGAGTCTGAACAGGGTTTGGGGTGGTCCCACCTCCCCTGATTCTTTACCTGCTAGTGGCACTTGGTGTCTCTCTAGGGAATGACCTCCAGGTGATTCTTATGGGAAAGGCTCCTAGATGGACATGTGACCCATACTGGTCAATTAGTATATTTCTTACTCCTGTCAACAGGGATTGGTCAAGGGCTGGGGCAAGTGGCCCAATTCAGGCCAGTAAGATTGAACTCTGGAATTTAGGGAGAAAATATTGAAACCCAGGAGTATTTTCTGGAAT